TTTTTTTTTTTTTTTTTTTTTTGAGTACCCTAGACTGGTCTCTACCTCACTGTGTAACCTAGGATGATCTTGAACTTCTGATCCTCCTGCCTCTACCTCCCATGTGCTAGTTATAAGCATGTGCCACCTGGTCCAGTTTCATCAATTAGTTTTTGTTGCTGTTGTTGTTTTAAATATTTCATTTGTTATTTTTATTTTATGTGTATGAGTGTATTGCCTGCATGCATTTAAGTGCATTTGTGTGGTGCAGTGCCAACAGAGGTCAGAAGACAGTGTAGGATTCTCTTGGAACTGGAGTTACAGGCTGTTGTTAGCTGCCATGTGGGTGCTGGGAATTGAACCTGGATCCTCTGCAAGAACTACTGGGCCATCTCTCCAGCTCCTCTGTTTTGTTTTTTAAATATTTATTTTCTTTTTAATTATGTATATATGTGTGTGAGCATGTGCATGTGAGTTCAGTGCCCTCAACGTTCAGAAGTTCTAAAGATCTCCTGGACCTAGAGTTACAGGTGGTCATGGGGCACCCAAAGTAGGTGCAGGGAAACTAACTTGGGTTCTATTCGAGAACCATACACACTCTTAACCTCTGATCCATCTCTTCAATTTCATCATCTGTTTTTTAACATGACATCAACAAGTAGAGAAGCCTAAGAAAATTAAAGCTACAGAAGGCATGGTCTCTGAAAGGACTTATGCCACTCAATAGAAGTAAAATACTTTGCATCTGGACAAAAGGAAACGTGACCTAGAAGCATCTCAAAAAGTGGCTGAGCCTTGCTCATCTGAAGCTCAAGGTTATACAAAAGTAAATTCATTAAGAGCCTCTTTCTTGAGAATAGTGTCTAAAATGTGCCCTGTTTGTACAGGGCCACCTAGGAAGTTGTTTCCCCAAGAATCAATTTACTATACTCAGTCACCCATGTACCCAGAAGCCCTACAGCTGGGGTCCAAGGGAATCCAGCCCTCTTGAGCTGATATCAGACCCTGGCATCCTCCGTGTGGTGCTGGTTTTGTAGGCATACAAAATGAAAGCATTATGTGGTGATGGAGGCTTCTAACCAGATTGTAAAGGCTGGTAGGCCAGGCCATGTGCAGCAGAGTTAGAATGCTTGCAGTCAGGCCCTGAGAGGGTAATAGGTAAAGCTGTATGAGTGAAGTCAAGAATGCTGTGGAGACCCCAGGAAGCTAGAGACACCAGGAACATGGAACATGTGGCCAGGAAAGCTAGAGGCATTGAACAAAGCCAACCTGAAAGAACGCAGGTACACTACAAACAGCATGGATACAGAGGCAGGCTGCCCAAGACATCCGGGGCCACATCCCACTCTGACCATATGCTCTGTAGCCAGATATGGGCTTGCAAGATTGAAAGTTCCCCCTCCTGGGCTCCAGACTTGCTCTGGTCTAATCCTGCCTCAGTACTCTCCTTTTCCTCTGTTTTGCAATAGGAACGTTTATCTGTACCCATTCCATCTTGGAAGTGTGTGATTATTTGGGGGTTTTGTTGATGTTGTTGTTATTGTTGTTTTATTTTTTCAATAGGGACTCACAGACAAAAGTTAGCTTGAGTCTAACAATAAACTATGAACTTAAACTTTTGAACAATGCTATACTTGTTAAGACTATAGACTTGTAGAGATGGACTAAATACGTCTTGCATTGTGTAATGGACATGAGCCTTTTGAGGGCCAGCGGCAGAACCTTATGATTTGGATATGAATGTCTCCCAAAAGAGTTATGCCCACAGCTTGAGCCACAGATGGTGGCACTATTTCAGGAGGTTTTGGAAGCTTCAGTTTGGTGGGCCTTAGGCTGGAAGAAGTAGGTCACCGGGAGCAAGTTCTTTAGGAGGAGGTCATATCATGTCCTGGGCCACTCTCTGTCTCTCTCTGACTGCTATTCATCACCAGGTGAAGAGCCTCCTTCACTACACGCTCCTATCATCACTGTGTTCTGCCTAAGTATGTGGGACTGAGTGACCATGGACTCAAACCTCTGAAACTCTGAGCCAAAATAAGGCTTTTTTTTTCAGGCATTTGTCACAACAATGAGACCTAACTAACACTATTGTATAATAACCACAGTAAAGGTTTATATATTTTAGGGATTCAGTGGCTCTTTCATATTAACGGTAATGGGTGGTCTATCTGCATAGGAACTGAGTACGCAGAAAGCAAATAGAGTAGTTAATGGTAACTGTATTTTGGGAAAACTGTTTTCATATACAAGATATGCAGATAACATTTCATTCGGAAACATCAGCATCTCAATTGTTTTTACTTAAAATAATTTTTAAGATGAATAAGATTGTTAGGGATGTTCTGTATAAAATACAAAAAAATCAATAAACAAAAAATGAGTTATATTTGAGGAGGAAGCATAAAAATTTGCTTCATGTTAATTAGTAGATGTGAAAAACATTATCATTGAAATTCACCTGATGACTTTATATGCATGCTCAGGTGCCAAGGATCTCAGAAGGTAACCGACTATGACTAGTAATAATCAGACATATAGAGATTAGAAACACATGTGCAAACATCTAAGTGTTAGTTGCATTAAAAATGAGCTTATCTATATGAAACAGCATATTTTAAAAGGAAATGGAGATCTTTTTTAAACGTTAAAACCTCATTTAATTTTATGTCTTATACGGTTTATACTGAGTACAATAATGTATAACTGTATTAATTTAACACTGTGAACCTAAAAATTCACAGCCTATTTTGAAAGAGATGATCTTTGCTCTGGAAACTGTTATTGACTATGTCAATGTTGTTGTAATGAAATGCTTCTACTGATTATGTGGTTATTAAATAAATTTTAAAAAATAATAATACACTAAAATAAAATAATCTTTATATTCACTCTAATGAGTCCACGTGGGTCCCCACAATTACATTACAATAAATACAATTAATGGGAGAATCACATGTCATTCCATCCCCTTCTCCTTCATGGGACTCTGATTGGTCAATGGGTGCCCTGTGTGTTTCCTGGCCTCTTCTTTCACTATACCGTGATCCCTGAGAGACAGGCTGTATCAGTCACAGTCATCCGGCATCTTGAGTGGTACCTGATACCTTGTACTCAAAAATACTTGAAGGAAGTGAATTGAAATACTTACTTAGGTGTAAAATTTATCTCCTTAAATTCTCCAATCCCAAGCTGCCCTTCAGAACCAGCTCCCCATGCGAAGACCCTTCCTTTGTGGCAGACAGCCAGAGAGTAATCCTTCCCACAGCTCACGAGGTCAACATGTAGGGTTTCCAATGCTTGAATTTGTTCTTTGGGGAAAAAAACAACCCCCAAACTCCCATAAGTTATAAATTTACCAAGTTTTAAAAAAAATTATTGAGCTTTTGTACATTTCATACAAAAGTTCTGAATCAAATTTAGACCCCCTCCCCCATCCATGTCCCCATACATCATCCCCCACCTCATGCATTCTGCCATACATGTTAAGTCCTATCCTGTCAAGCCTTTGTACCCTAATGCCCTTCGGTACAAGTTCATCCACTGGAGTCTAGTCAGCACATCTAGAGATCATAAGTAAGGATTACTCTCCTTAAGACAGCACTTGCCTTTAAAAAGGAGAGTCACCTAGAGTCCTTGTCTACTCCAATGTCTCTTAAATCAAAGCCTAAAGTCCTTGCTAAACATTGGAAAGAAACAAGTTCAATGTGTGCTATACTAGACATATAGGAACACAGCTGTGTTACCTAGTAATCAGACACCATTTGCTGACGTGGCTGTAGCACCTTGAGTTCTTGCACAAGAAAACAGAAACACAGTTTAGATGAGGTTCACAGGAAAATGAAACTTAAGCTTAGCCAAGTAAATCTCTATACAGAGACTTTATCAAGTAGAAACAGCCAACTAATCTCTAACTAGGGACTGCCCACCTTCACTAGTTAAAATTACTTTGTTTTATTTCCTTAAACTTTATGAAAGTGTGTTATAGTGTCTTCCTGGAATCCACTCATACCCCTTTAGTGGAGCCCAGGCCATGCAGTCTGGTGCTGCTCTGTTTATGAATGACTGGATGCTTAAAATAGCTCTATAGGGGACTAGAGAGATGGCCCAGCAATTAAGAACACTGGCTGTTCTTCCAGAAGACCCTGGTTTGATTCCCAGCACCCACATGGCAGCTAACAACCATTGTAACTCCAGTTCTAGGGGATCTGACACCCTCTTTGGGCACCGCATGACACAGATGCACTTACATACATGCATACATCTTTAGATTACTACTGTGCTCAGGCCATCCTTTTATCTCTGTGTTTTTGCAGTATCAGGGATTGAACCCAAGGCCTCATTCATACCAGGCAAGGCCTATACCACTGAGTTGTATCTACAGTCCCCAGGTTATCTTTTGGTAGCTGCTAAAAGTTTGCACATTGGGGCAGAGGGGGCTTCTAAGGACTTACTATGAGCATGACCAAATGTTTCTCTAAGATGGGGTTGGAACCCTAGCCACAGAAAATGGACCTGGAGAGAGGACAGAAAGGCTCTCCCCGACTAAACTTTTCTCCCTTTTCAACCCTGCAAAGTGTTAAGAGTCTTGAGTTCCTAGCTCTGGAGGAGATTGTCAGGGAGACTGTATTGTGAATCTGATAAGCAGATACTGGACCTGTTTAAAATAGACAGTGAAGATGTGTCCCTGTGAAGCCTCTACCTGCACCTGCAAGGAAAGCCTGATCACATTTCCCTGAAAGCTATTCTAAACTGTTTTCCCAAAGTGTCTGTCTAAATCATTATAGGGTTAGAGTTGAGAAAAATCATTACCAGAGAAGTTTTGGAACTAAGGTGTTGTTTTGTTTCACTTTTTTTTTTTTTTTTTTTCTGAGACAGGATCTCATACAGTCCAGGCAGGCCTCTAACTCATTGTATAGTTTAGGCTGTCCTAGAACTCTCTTATCTTCTTTTTGTTTTGCTTTGCTTTGGTTTTTTTTTTTTTTTGTTTGTTTGTTTGTTTTGTTTTGTTTTCTTTTGAGACAGGTTCTCCCTGTAGCTCCAGCTGGCCTGGAACTCCCTATATAAGCCAGGCTAGCCTCCATCTCACAGAGATCTATGAGCTTCTGCCTCCCCAAGGAGGTGGGGGTGATGGGATCAAAGGCGTGTGCCAGGTGGCTTGCTTGTTTTTTTGAGATAGGGTCTCTCATGCAGCCCAGGCTGGCCTTGAACTCAGTGAGGATGACCTTGAACTTCTGAATCACCTATCTCCCCCCAGCCACTGGGATTACAGGCCTGTGCCACCGTGCTGTACTCAGTCTTTCTATTTTTTTTTAATTAAAATGTTTTGATGGAATCAAACTAAAGCCCCCCAGGTTAAAGTAGATTTAACCAAATCCCCCAGACTAAAGAAGAATATTCAGAACAAGGAAGTAAGAAGTAAAATAATTCTAACTACTGAGAAAGAGCTGACCTTTTCATGCTCCAGACATCACCACAGACTCCCCCTCCCACTACTGCCAGTTGCCGCCAGCCCCCTATTGCTGGTTGCTGCCGGCCCCCTCCCACTACTGCCGGTTGCCGCCAGCCCCCTATTGCTGGTTGCTGCTGGCCCCCTCCCACTGCTGCCGGTTGTGGATTGTGGTTTCTGCCTTTAAAATCGCCTGTAAACTGAGCTCTGGACTGCTGTTCTCTCTCTCTCTCTGAGTGAGGCAGGAGCCTCATCTGCGCAAACGATTAAATCCTCTTGCTTGTTGCATCTCCTGGTCTGAGGACTGAGTTATTGGGGTGCAGCCTCCCGTGGATGTTGGGTACCCCAGTCTGGGGGTCCTACAGTTTTAATTGACAAAACATAAAAATTGTACATAATTATGAGATACCATGTGATATTTTAATACATGTATATATTGTGTAATGTTTAAATTAAGTTAAATATATCTATCTCCTTAAAAATTATGTTTCTTTATGGTAAAAATATTCAAACTATTTTTTCTAGTTTTTTTTTTTAAATATACACATTATCATTACCTATAGCTACCCTAGTATGCAATAGCACACTGGCATTTCTTACCCCTAACTAGAAGTTAGTACCTATTCTCTCCTTTTTTGAGACAAGGTCTTCTATGTAGCCTAGGATAGCTTCAACTTTGCGTTCCCCTTCCTCAGATTCCTAATTACTGAGGTTACAGGCGTGCGCCTCCACATCTGGCTTTCCTACTCTCAACTTCTGCGCTGTCAGCTCTTTAGATCAGTGGTGGTGCTCGCCTTTGATCCCAGCCCTCAGGAGGCAGAGGCAGGTGGATCTCTGAGAGTTCCCGGCCAGCCTGGTCTACACAAGCCCTTTAAAGTAGTAATTCCACACATATCACCAATTCTTGTTTTAGCTATTTCCTAGTTGTTTCCCCACATGTAGTAAACTTTAAAGCCCATCTTCCTTTCTTTTGTTAAATAGAGTATACAAGGTCCTGAATCTAAATATTTCCATGGGTTTAATCATTTTCTGTGAATCCCCATGCACACAAATTACTCTCTGTGGAAAAGATGAATAAAATTATAGACCTTCTTTTTCTGTTAATGTTTTTGCTAGTTAAATTTGCAGCGTCCAAGCACTGAATCTAAGGAAAAAAAGGAAAAGTTTTTGATCTTCCACAGTTCTTGAAATTATTCTAAACACATAATGAAATATGGTCAAGGGCTAGAGGATATAATATAGCTCAGTGAGGGGTGCCTGCCTAGCACACAAAGCAAAAAACTAGAAATATAGCAAAATACATACTTACAAGAATGTGAATCACAGTTTACAAAAATCTCTAATAAGACCAAATTTCTGTGAAAAGATATTATGTTATTCTCAGAACCTAGACTGCTACATATATACTTTTTTAAAGGATAATATATTCATTACTTTATTGTATTTGGTAAAAAAAATAAAAACAGAGTTGTATAAATACATACACAAAACTATATGATGACATTATTTTCATAAATATTAAATACATGCACTGAAAAACAAGACAAGGAGGAACTTGTCAGGTTGTTACAATGGTCTCTGGGTGTGACAATTACCGATGGCTTCCTTGTATAAAAAACATTTTCTTTTTGTGTGTAGGGGGGGAGTGTCGGTGCCCGTACTGGAAGTAGTTTTTTTCCTGTTTCTACAACAATCAGCAATGGCGATTATATGTGCTATTGTGTAATAATAGATATAATGGTATTATACCTTTAAAAAATTAAGACAAAGAATGCCCCCAAGGTATTGCTGAGCTAGTTACAGGTGTCCAACCCATCACGTTTGGAAAACAGGTTGACTCCGAGGAATATCCCACACTCTAGCTCGGTCTGAAAAGTCAAGGGGAAGGAACCATTATTTCGTGGTCCAGGTTGGTTTCAGCTCTCTGTTTCGCGGTGAAGAAGAACTGGAAACCGAAACAAACTCTAGTCTCTGAGAAACGAAACTGTCATTGCGCTCCCGCGAAGCTTAGCATTGCTCCGGGTTTCCCCATCTCCCCGTCGGGACACCCGAGGCTCCCCACCCCGCCCTGGCGCCGGCTCCTGAGCCGGATGCTCACCTGGACGCACTGCACTCTGCACTCTCCTCCGGCCCACCTGGCCCCAGCTGTTGTCTCCGTAGGCGTGCACCCAGTGGTCGCTGAACAGCAGCAGCGCGTGGCGCTCGCCACTGGCGGCCCATAAGAGTTCAGAGCCTGCTTCCGCCGCCCGGCGCTGCAGCTGCGGGGAACCGGTACCCCAGCACAAGTACATCTCGGGGGGGATCCCAGCCACCAGTGGGCTGCAGATTGTTGGCTTGGCCAGGTGAGCTCCCAACGCAAGCGAGCCGTGTGCGGGATTTGGGGCTCTCCCAGCATCCAAACTCTGCTCCTCCCAGAAGCACAGCCAACTAGCCTCCTCCCAGGAACTCTGCCCTGCCCCAAGTCTTCTTTTTTCTTTTCTTTTCTTTTCTTTTCTTTTCTTTTCTTTTCTTTTCTTTTCTTTTCTTTTCTTTTCTTTTCTTTTTCTTTCCTTTTCTTTTTCTTTTCTTTCTTTTCTTTTCTTCTTTTATCTATTTCTCTTTTTATTTCTTCTCTCTTTCTGGGGACTGAACCTAGGGTTTCACACTTGCCAGCAAGAGCCTTACAGCCAGTCTTTCCTCTGGAAATCTGGCTGGCTGAGTTCCAAGTGCTGAATAGCAGAGATCAGAAGAGAATTTGCATAGGAACTGAGCCACTTGTGAATCCTGCTGCCCTGGGCAGATTGCTAGGTCAATGAAACATGGACAGTGCTGAGAGCCAGCTGCAGGCTGTGTCTTTCTAGAATGCCAGAATTGATTGAATAATAATAAATTTACATACGGCAGTTTCAATGGTGGCAAATTGCCAGTTCCTCTGCTTTCCTTGGTAACCCTGGCTAAGGTTATTTTATTCCAATTTACAAATATTCACTCTCAGATCACACATTAACCATCACATTGTAAATCTATATGTATACATGTAAGTTACCACATGACTACAAAGGGTAAAGATATAAGTTTCAAAGGGGGCTGAAAGCCAAAGGTGGAAAAACCCATATGGATGCAAAGAAGAAACTGCTGTGCCAGTCAAGCGCCCATGACCCACAGATTTGAGAACAAATGTTCAGAGCTGAGTCACTGCAGAGAGAAAGGGTCAAAGTCAAGATGATCAACAGGTCTAGTCTAGATGGGCAAACAGAAGGAGGCAGAGAGCAACTGAGTAGGCCACATCCACATCTGGGATCACACCCCTGGGATAGCCAGGAGTCTTCTGGCTGTCAGTCCTTAGCTGTTACTGATGGTCAGATCACAGGTTGGTGGGGTTATCACCCTACCTATTTATGGGTCCAAGTGAGAAAGTTACGCCCTTTCTTTGGTCTGGTGTGTCTGATAAGTTCTTGGGCCTGGTTTTCCTGGTAGGATTTTAATATACCCGAGTCACCCTACAGTATCAGTTTACCCTGATAAGTTTATAAGGTGGCACCCTTTCTACTCCCAGGAATAAGTCATTTTAGTCTGTGTTGCATGTGTTGCATGGTGGTGCTCTGGATGCCATTCACATGTCCACCCAGATGCACAGTCATCTCCATCTTCAAAATGAAATCAAAAGCTGCTTATAAAATAAAGTATCTCAGAGATCTGGCAAGTTGAAGCCTCTCTGCCATCTCAGCTCTCAGGCCAGCTTGGGTCTTTGGGATCCTTCCCAGCACCAGACTTGCAGCCCTGATCTCTCATTCCTGAGACTCCCTAGCCTCCCGGCACCTCCCTGCCATCTTAGCTCTCAGGCTTCCTCATCACGAGGATTCTTTCCCATCCCAGATCTGTGTGACCCACTAGACTTGGCAGAGTGAGTCCCCGGATCTGTGTGACCCTCCAGACTTGGCAGAGTGAGTCCCTGGATCTGTGTGACCCTCCAGACTTGGTAGAGTGAGTCCCTAGATCTGTGTGACCCTCCAGACTTGGCAGAGTGAGTCCCTGGATCTGTGTGACCCTCCAGACTTGGCAGAGTGAGTCCCCTCCACAATCTCAGCTTTCAGGCTAGCTTGGGTCTCTGGGATCCTTGCAGCTCCAGACTTGGCAGTCCTGAACTCCAGATCCTGAGACTTCCCTGCACCCTGCCATCTCAGCTCAGTGTGCCCCAGGCTAACCCATAAGCTAACCTGTTCACCTAGCAGCCCCCATCCCATCCTGCCAATCCATGACCCTGTGTAGTTAATCCTGGAATCTCAACTCAAAAGTTGTACCTATCTTTAGCTGAACTGAGACCGCTTCTTTCACCCCATTTGCACATCAACATGAAGTAGCCCCAAAACTGAATACCAAACACTACTCAGCTAGACCATAACCTGACAAGTTGGGGAATGAGCAAACAAAGATACAACCTCAGGTGATTTCCTGATAATGACAATCTAATAGATGCCCAAGACAATGATTTCAAAACAGCAATTATAAATATGTCCAAGGAATTCGAAGAGGATATGAATGAAAAATTGAATGAAGGGGTTGGAGAGATGACTCAGCAGATAAGAGCACTGGCTGCTCTTCCAGACGAACTGGGTTCAGTTCCCAGCACCCACATATAACTGCACCAATAGAGATAGTTTGCTGTGCCTGTCATTGTTGTGGTTATTAGGCTTTATAGCTGGGGTTGCATCATTGATTGGTTTTCTCCCTTGACAGCTTTTATAGCATCTTCTGGTACTATGAGAGCTAGTCTTCAGAGAGAAGCCTTCCTGGTCAGTTCCAGATCAGTTGCTCCAAGTTCATTGTCCAAAGTGTGACCCATCTTCAGCAATAGGTTCTTACCTTCCAGTTCTGGGAAGCAATCAAGATCCGTGGCATTAGCCTGTGCTATTTTGGGGGTCTCTTGGACTACACTGACCGACAACTCAACGGGACTGTGTTTTTGTTATATAGCCTTTAGCTATACACATGCACTCTTATATTTATTGTATGTATATTTTTCAGCATGACTTTGAACTAATAGATTTCTCTTTGGCTTTTCATACCATCTAAGCATTATTTATCTCTCCTCTTACTCCCCCTGTATAACCCTTTCTAATCCCCCCTGTAATAACAGCTGAATCCTACTATCCCCTTCTCTTGAGCTCCTTCTTCCCCTTTATTCCCATGGTTCCTTTCTATTTTCCTGGCTCCTGTGGTTACATCAGGATATATACTCACATCTAGGAATTTGGAGCTAAGATCCACAAATGAGAGAGAACATATGTCACTTGTTTCTCTGAATCTGTGTTACTTCACTTAGTATAACAGTTTCTAGTTCCATCCATTTACCTGCAAATTTCATGGTTCATTTTTCTTTACCACTGAGTAGAACTCCATTATAGAAATATACTACATTTCCATTATTCATTCATCAGTTCAGAGACGTTTAGGTTATTTTCATTTATTAGCTATTGTGAAAAGAGCAGCAACAACATGGCTATACAAGTATCTCCGTAGTAGAATGAGTTCATTGGGTACATGCCAAGGAGTGATTTGACCAGATCATATGGTAAATTCAGTTTTAGTTTTTTAAGAGTTCTCCATACTGATTTTCACAGTGGTTTCACTGGTTTGCAATCCTACGAACAATGGGTGAGGGTTTCCCTTTCCCCACATCTATACTGAATAAAGACCATGAAAACACAGTTGAATGAAATAGCTAAAACAATTCAAGACATGAAATTAGAATTCAATAAAGAGATTGAATCTCTGAAGAAAAGCCAAACTTGGGATTAAAAAAAAAAAAAAAAAAAAACAAAAAAAAATAAAAAAAAAAAAAAGAAAATCTTAAAAAAAAAAAAAATTTGGGGAAAAAAAAAAAAAAAAAAAAAAAAAAAAAAAACAACCAAAAACATTTCAGCAACTCCAGCAAAAACGAACTAGGGAAAATGGGACAGAGAACATCAGATCTTGGAGACAAGCTTGGAAAATGTCAAATCTTAAATAACTCAAGAACAGAATATGCAAGACCTCTGGGACACTATAAAAAAAGACCAAACTGGCACTGGAGAGGTGATTTAGGGTTAAGACCACTGGTTACTGTTGCGGAGGACCTGAGTTTGATTACAAGCACACACATGGTGGCTAGCAACTGTTGGTAACTCCAGTTCCAGGGGGGATCTGACACCCTCTTCTGACCTCCATGGGCATTGTACAACATAAGTGCATTTACATACATGCAGGCAGTACACACATACACATAAAAAATAAAAAAGACCAAACCTATGAATCATAAGCGTAGAAAAAGGAGAAGATACACAGATCAAAGGTGCAGAAAATGTTTTTAATAAAATCATAGAAGAAAATTTAGGTAAAGAGATATTTATCAAGGTTTAAGAGTTATACAAAACATCAAGTAGACAGGACCAGAAAAGAAACTCCCTTCATCATACAACAATCAAATATGAAATGTGCAGAACAAAGAAAAGATATTAAAACTGTAAGAGAGAAAGTTCAAGTCACATATAAAGGTAGACCCACTAGAATAGCAGTTGATTTTTCAATAGAGACTAGGAAAGCCAGAGGATATGGACCAATGTCATACAAGTCATGTAAGAACACATAGTCCCATCCAGACTACTCTATCCAGCAAAGCTATCAGTTGTAATTGAAGGAGAAAGAAAAACCTTCCATGAGAAAAACAGATTTAAGGAATTTATGTCCACAAAACCAGCTCTATAGACAATATTCAATGTAATACTTTGGTCAGAAGAGAAGATTAAACGCTCTCAAGAGGGCACAAAAAAATAAATAAATTATCCCCAAAGAGTCAACCAAAAGAAGTCTAAGGAAACAGTAGTACAACACCAACATAACAGGAATTAATAAATATTGATCAGTAATAACCCTCAGTATTAATGGTCTCAACTCCCCAGTAAAAAGAAATGGACTGGAGATGGAGAGATGACTAAGAAGTTAAGAGTACTGACTGTTCTTGCAGAAGACTGTGATTTGAATCCCAGCACCCACATGGCAGCTGACAACCATCTATAACTTCAGTTCCAGGGGAATCCAGTACCCTCTTATGACCTCTGTAGGCCCTGCATGACATGTATACGCATAAAAATAAATAAAAATTTTTTAAAGACTCAGACTAATTGATTAGATTACAAAATAGGATCCAACAATTTTCTACTTCTGAGTAATGCACCTCACAAACAATGATTGATACTACCTTAGGGAGAAGGGATAGGAAAAGCTATTTCAAGCAAATAGAACCAAGAAACAAGCAAGTGTAGCTATTCTAATAGCCTACAAAATAGAGTTAAAACTAAAACTAGTCAGAAGAGACAGGGAAGGTCACTTCATACTCATTAAGGGAGAAAGCCATCAAGATGATATTACAATCTTAAACATATATGTACCACACACAGGGGCACCCAATTTCATAAAAGAAACTTTA